CGGGAATCCCCCCACACTCCCATTTCTAACCACAGAAGCAAAACATGTGCAGCATCAAAACCGTCTGGTTGCAAACGTCGGGGTTTCTGTAATCACCCAAGGCTACGGGTCAGAGCCACCGTCTACGCCTTGCCTCCAGGTGGCAGTGGACAGTAAACCAGAGTGTGTCCTTGTTCCTACGACATCGGAAGTCCCCCAAATCAAGTGACCAGCAGACCCACGCTTATGTCCACAGGAAGCTGCCGGCGAGGCACTGAAATTATTCACAAAAACATGCTCGTGAGACTGAGGATAAGCGGTGAGAATAGCGCAGTCACCGAGTCAAGGGGGGCCACGGCTGCTGAAGGAGGGTGGAGTGGAGCGGAGGGCAGGAGGTTTGGGGGCCCGAGGGGCCGTCCCTGGGCCTAGGAAGGTGCGGGGCCCAGTCGTTTGAGAAAGCGCAGCTCTTGCCGTCCTCAGGCCACATGGCAGTTTCTCCCGATGGTTCTTACGAGGACCAAGCTGCGTGGTGCAGAGAACAAGGCTCTGGGGAAGCTGTGTCCCACGGGTGGCACCTGTTGCCCGCAGGTTCATGGGCTCCTGACCCAAGGAACCTGACTATAAGCCCCCGCGGAAAGTGGCCTCCGCGCAGCAGGCTCCGGGGGCACCCAGGGTTGGCCTGAGAGGCTCCGGGGGTCCACGCAGTCCACGGGGACCCGCTTTGTGGGCTTTGAGCAGCGGTGACTTCTAGGCCGCATGCTCTAACCTCCGCACCACCTGCCATGATCTCACACCACCTGTTAGAGCGGCGGCTGGACACCGGCTGAGTTGCGGTGGAGGTGGCAGCTGGACGCTTCTCGAAGGCTTGCACACGTGCTCAGAAGTGGCCACGAGGGTCCACGGAGATTGCTGCTGGCCCCGTGGGGAGCCCCGATTCCTCCTGAGGTGAACCCGAGGCTCTGCTCTAAGGCAGAGGCCCTTGCGGCCCAACTCTGTACCATCCTGCTCGGCCAGGAGGCCAGACCCGGCCTGACCCGGCCCGACCTGGCAACAGGTGCCAGCCCTGACATGGCTCCAGCGTGTCCTGAGGGGAGCAGCCACCGTCGTAGGGCCTTGAGTTGGTTCCGGGGACGTCACCTGAAACTGCTTGCCAGCCACACACCTACCCACCACCTGGGCCTCCACGGGAGACCCCACCGCTGTCTCTCAAAGATGCTTGCTCGACAGTAAACCAACCCCCCAAGCATTAGATGTTAGATGGGGACACAGAGCTGCATCCTCGAGTGGAGTGACCCAGGACTGCCCAGCTCAGCAAGGGGACCGCAGCGGTAGTAGGGGCTGTGCCCACCTTCGTCCTGCCCCCACATTGCTGGCTTCGTGGTGGCTCGAGGAAGGGTCTCCGAAAACCACCTTCAAGTATGAGGTGACCTTCAGAAGGAGGACCAAGCATAGAAAGACCAGACATGACACAAAACAAAACAAAACACTCAAAAACCCCCCAAACAAAAGAGGAACCTACACACCAAGTCCCGAGGTAGCAGAAGCCACAACAGCCCTGAACGGCCTGCTTCCAGTTTTTTCACTGGAGAGCGCTAAGCCATGATCGCTCGAAAGATGCTGCTAATGTGACCTTTTAGTACAATAAAAGTCAAAGGTCGGGATCCCTGGGTGGCGCAGCGGTTTAGCGCCTGCCTTTGGCCCAGGGCGCGATCCTGGAGACCCGGGATCGAATCCCACATCGGGCTCCCGGTGCATGGAACCTGCTTCTCCATCTGCCTGTGTCTCTGCCTCTCTCTCTCTCTCTCTCTCTCTGTCTCTCTGTGACTATCGTAAATAAATAAATAAATAAAAACATAAAAAAAAAAGTCAAAGGTCTACTTCCAAAACATCCCGTAAATTGATGTCTGTAGCCCTGGCCTGTCATGATGTTTTAGTGCGATTAGTACCGTAGGCAGAATGAGATTAGAATTCCAGGTCAATGTGCTTAATTCCTTATAACTGTCACAGGGTTAAGGGATTTTTTTTTTTTAAGGAAAAATGAAGTGATGATGTCACTAAGAAGGGGGCCATCGATGCAAATTGCCATTTTTAAATTTTGACTCCAAATCTTATGATTCAAAGTCAGTCTTCGCTTTGCATAAGAGTGTGGGACTGTAAAAACTGCTCATGCAAGCCGTGAGCTTGCAAAAAATATCTGGTTTCTGTTTTGCAAAAGAAAAGGACCCTTCGTATGTCATGACGCATAGAAGCCTATGGTCAAGGCATAAGCAGTGCCGGAGGGTCCAGGGGTCACTCACGGCGGTGGCGGGTCCTCCAGGAATGGGGGAGATAAGCAGGAGGGGGGACAAGGGAGGGAGGCCGGGAGCTCAGGTGAAGGGCAAGGAGACAAGTGTGGACACAAGATGGAAGGTGACACGTGAGACGTGGGAGAAGAAGGAAAAAGTTCTGTAAATAGAAATGAACATGATCAGAGCCCCAGAGAGATGATGGCAAAGTGAGAGGGCGTCAGGCTCTGTCCCTCAGACGTGAATCATGCGGGAACTGGCTGCAGGGGCCCCTGGGGGTGTCCCTGGGGGTGTCCCGGCCTTGGGGCTGTGGGGGGGGCAGCCAGGTAGTCTGCAGGGGCCCCTTGGGGGTGTCCCTAGGGGGGTGTCCTGCCCTCGGGGCTCTGGGGGGCAGCCAGGGCGTCTGCAGGGGCCCCTGGGGTGTGTTGTCCTGCTCTCAGGGCTGCAGGGGGGCAGCCAGGGCATCTGTAGGGGCCCCTGGGGGGTGTCCTGCCCTTGGGGCTGTGGGGGGGCAGCCAGGGCATCTGCAGGGGCCCCTGGGGGTGTCTTTGGGGGGTGTCTTGCCCTCGGGGCTCTGGGGGGCAGACAGGGCGTCTGCAGGGCTGGGCTGCCGGGGCCTAACACGCACAGGCCCTTGAGACCAGAGGTACAAGATACTGGCCTCTCCCAGGGCCAACGCACAGCGGCCTTCCTGACATGCGCTCAGGTGACCTTTCCTGGGGGGATGGGGAGGGAGCGCCCTCGTTCTGCGGTGTCTCCTCTTGTCGGCCCCCCTGCTGGCATCCTGTGTAACATGGCCACCTGCTCAGGGGTCCCACCTTCGAATAGAACCCCGCAGCTGTGGGGTGGGGGGGGAAACTTAGGGCTGCTAACATAGGAATGTTGGGGGGGGGCCCACAAATAATCTCTCTACAATAAGACCAGTCCATTCAGAGTTCGATGCCAGCAAAATTCCCTGGATGGCTCACGTAAGGGAAATTCTCCGGAAGCTTTCTCAGAGGTGGGGCTGACAGTTTGCTCATCCTAACGCTGCCTGTCTGTACCTCCTTTGGTTCTGAGCTCAGGACGGGGAGAGGATGCACGTCGCCCTGTGGGCCCCCGGGCGAGGCCGGGTCTGGCTGGGCTGCAGGCCCGGGTACACCTGAGTGTCTTAGCCACATGCAGCACGTTGATTCCCGACGGCAGCGAACCACACGCGGCTCCGACCCGCGGTGGCGGCTCCCTGACTGTGCGGGCCGTGGGGTGCAGGTGCCTCATGTCTGCAGCACTGCACACCCCACTGCCCCGACCTGCTGTGAGAGCTGAAGGCTGCGAGTTTCCTGCGGGCCGCGGGGGGCGGGGTGCTAACCATCCAGCACCGTGTGGGCTGTGGTTTGGGACCAGAGCTTGCCACTGGCAAGAAGATTCAGGCAGCGAGGGGACCTGGGGTGTGAGCACGGTCCGGGCGGGGCCGCTGGCTTCCGGAGGAGTCTGTTTCTACCCGTGGCCGTTGTAGAAAGAGCCCGCCGACCGTGACTTGGTCGCCGTGTGACAAACGTGAAAGAGGGATGGCCGCACGTGGGATTTCATGACGTGTCCGTCCCCTTGCCCTCCGCAAACTTGGGAAGTTATTAAAGGGCGCTGTCATAAACCCACGGCCCTGGCAAGAGCCGCTTACAACCATCCACCTCAAGCCGCCCCTCGACGGGCACCTGCGTATCCTCGAGCATGAACAGACCCCACTCTTTCTTCCTGACAATGTATTTTGCTCTGATCACCACACATGCCATCGTCGAGGACATGCCAGGTCCCCCCTTGCACGTGTCCCCTCAGAAGGCTGCACCCGTGACCCCCCGGCCCTCCCTGGCACAGCGCCCACTGCAGCCCGGGACTGAGAAGAGAGCCTCTCCCAAGTGTTCCGATTGCAGACGCTCCTGGGGCGGGGAGGTCAGCACACCTCCCCGGAAAGGCTCGACTTTGGGTCTGGGATGCTGGACGCTGAAAGGACAACGGTCTCGACGGCTTTCAACCGTTGGTTTAAATACCCCTGCCTGTCTCTGTATGTTACCCACCAACACACTTGGTGACAAGTGTGTGTTGAGGGACTTTCTCAAGTGCGTGAATATATGAATTAGAGTCACCAGGAGGGCAGAGGACTTTTGCACTGCTCTGTGCCCCGTGGGGGGGCCGCCCTTCCACCGCCTGGGGCAGCGGAGGGCCCCCCATGGTTTACCAGATGCCCCGGGAGAGGCTGAGGACTGGAGGAGGCAAATCCTCCTGCTACAAAGGGGACCAGCAAGACAGGTGGACGGCTACGGGGTGAGATGGGAAAGCGGGGAAGAGGCGGACCCAGTGTCCAGACAGGAGGCGGGGTGGGGACACTGAGGCAGAGCCGCATGGAGAACCCGGAACCCTGACCTCTCAGGACGAGCGGGGCTGGGCGACGCGCTGCAGTGTGTGTCTTGTGGTTGTCGCCGTGTGACGCGAGGCCCCAACAGGTGCAGGGACCTTCCAGGGCTCGTGGAGGGAAGCCAGCAGCGGGGAGGCTGGTGACAAGGGAGCAGCGGGCCACCAAGCAGGAGCCACTGCTGGTCTGAGCTGGAGGGGAAACGAGAGCATGAGTGGGAGGTTGAGGGAGCCGCAGACCGTCTTCTGTTTCAATGGGCGCTTGTGGGGAGGAGCGCGGCGTCCTGATGAAAGAAGGAAGTCAGGACGGAAGTGCTGGGGCAGCTCTGCTGAGAAGGCAGGGAGCAGGGAAGCATCTGCAGGTGACATGCTGCCTCTGGAGCGTGTCCTGCTGGCCGCTCTTCTCCTGTGGGGCGACAGCGCGCAAGGTAAGAGCTCGCCGGCCGCCCAGTCCCTGGGGCCTGGTGGGACATCCCGGCCGCTCCCAAGACAGACGGTGACTCTCAGGTCACCAGAGTGCTCACGCCCGGAGGGGTCCTGTTTACTCCTTGATGGGATGGTGGTGAGTCGGGGGCCCCAGAAGCACCATCACCAACCCAGTCACAGCTCATCTCCCCCCGCCCTGTCTCTGTCTCTCTGTCTCTCCCTGTCTCTCTCTCTACCTGACCCACTACCCCTCTACTACCCACAGCCATCCAGGAACACCTTGTGTTCACTATCATCCAGATCTCATCCTTTGTCAATCAGTCCTGGGCGCAGCATCGGGGCTCAGGGTGGCTGGGTGACGTGCAGACTCATGGCTGGGACAGCGACTCTGGCACCATCATTTTCCTGCACACCTGGTCTAAGGGCAACTTCAGTGACGAGGAACTCATAGATCTGGAGATGCTGTTCCGTGTCTACCTCATTGGATTAACCCGGGAGGCCCAAGAATATGCCAGTCAACTGCACTTCACGTGTAAGTTCAATCCTAAGGGAATTAGGAAAGTTCCTAGGAATAAGTTCCTAAGGGAACCCCTCAGGAGGTTCTCCGATTTCTGGGGAGCATCCTCACCCCCTTCTGGACCTTCTGCCTGTTATTCCTGCTCCACCGTAAAAATCTTTGTGCATAAACTTCTTGGGGGTCATTCCAGATATCGACTCTCAAGATGTCGTAGACTCTCGCTTCCTCGGATTCCTTTTCTCTTGTGCATTTTCATCTTTCCCCAGTGGTTTCCCTTCTATGGCCTAAAACATGGAGACACACAACCATCCCCCTCTGCGCCTGACTCCCTTAAAGTATAATCTCTTCCCCCAATGGGTGTCTCCCCAAGTCTATGTCCACAACTCGACAACCCTCATGGCCCACGTCATGAGACCTGGAGAGCGGTACTTGCAGCTCCTTCACCTGGGCTCCTCCCCTGTCCCCACCCTCTGACCTGCGGCTCACTCATCATTTCCCGGACTTCTTCAGATCAAATCCTTAATTCTTGCCATGTATCCCTTACGGCACCTTCCCCATCCCATCAACTCTCTTCCTCATTCCCAAACACATCTTTGGCTTACACCTCCATCCTCATAAAATCTTCATGGGCCACTTTTATTTATTTATTTATTTATTTATTTATTTATTTATTTATTTATTTATTTTTTATTTTTTTATGTGCCACTTTTTAAAAATTTTTATTTTATTTTATTTTATTTTTATTTTTTTCATGTGTCACTTTTTAACATTTTTTATTTATTTTATTTTTATTTTTTTCATGTGCCACTTTAAAAAATTTTTTATTTGTTTTATTTTATTTTATTTTTATTTTTTTCATGTGCCACTTTTTAAAATTTTTATTTATTTTATTTTATTTTTTATGTGCCACTTTTTAAAATTTTTTATTTTATTTTACTTTATTTTTATTTTTTTCATGTGCCACTTTAAAAAATTTTTTATTTGTTTTATTTTATTTTATTTTTATTTTTTTCATGTGCCACTTTTTAAAATTTTTTATTTATTTTATTTTATTTATTTATTTTTTCATGTGCCACTTTTTAAAATTTTTTATTTATTTTATTTATTTTTTCATGTGCCACTTTTTGAAAAATTTTTATAAATTTATTTTTTATTGGTTATTCAATTTGCCAATATATAGAATAACACTCAGTGCTCATCCCATCAAGTGCCCCCCTTAGTGCCCATCACCCAGTCACCCCGTCCCCCCACCCACCTCCCCTTCCACCACCCCTAGTTCGTTTCCCAGAGTTAGGAGTCTCTCATGTTCTGTCTCCCTTTCTGATGTTTCCCACTCATTTTTTCTCCTTTCCCCTTTATTCCCTTTCACTATTTTTTATATTCCCCACATGAATGAGACCATATAATGTTTGTCCTTCTCCAACTGACTTATTTCACTCGGTATAATACCATGTGCCACTTTTTAATAAAATTCTTAAATAATTTCTCTCAATTTTCCCCACAAATCTGTTTCTCCTTCTTCCCAGATCCTTTTGAACTACAGGTGGTCGCTGGCTGTGAGCTACATTCCAGTGACATTTCAAAAGGCTTCTTGCAGTCAGCTTATGAAGGATCAGATTTTGTGACTTTCCAAAACATGTCCCTGGTGCCATCTCCAGGAGCTGATAGCAAAGCCCAGAGTGTCTGTTATCTCATAAACCAGTACGAAGGCATCAAGGAAATAGTGTACAGGCTCATCACAAGCACCTGTCCCCGATTTGTCTTGGGTCTCTTCGATGCAGCAAAGGTGGATTATAAGAGGCAAGGTTCGTACAGCCCCTTCCTCTAAGGTTTTTCCACACAGTTCTTGCCCCTTCCCACCGTCCCTATCCAAGTTGGAATAAGGAAGAGTTCAAGAGGGACAAGGTTTGTTGGGTTCATGTTCCTAAAGCAAGATAATACGCACGTGCCGATGCGGTTAATAAGCCCTAAGCTGTGTCTTAGAGCCCCCCTCTGAATGTGCTTCATGCTCCCCACAGTGCGACCCGAGGCCTGGCTGTCCATGGGCCCCACTCCCGGGCCTGGCCGGCTGCAGCTGGCGTGCCACGTCTCCGGCTTCCACCCCAAGCCTGTGCAGGTGACATGGATGCGGGGCAAGCAGGAGCAACAGGGCACCCGGCGAGGCGACATCCTGCCCCATGCTGACGGCACGTGGTATCTCCGAGTGACCCTGGACGTGGTGGCCCGGGAGGCGGCCGGCCTGTCCTGCAGGGTGAAGCACAGCAGTCTAGGGAGCCAGGACATCGTTCTCTACTGGGGTGAGGAAGATGGGGTCTGGAGGTGTGCGACGGGGGTTCCTGAGCCTAGAGGCTGGGGCAGAGGACGGTTTCTGGAGGCCAGAAGTAGGGCCTGTAACAGCAGGAAGGAAGAAATACAAGTGATTTCAAGGATGTGAGGATGGAGCGCAGGGAGCCTCAGATATAAGGGACTTGGGGAGGGATGGGTGGCCTTCCCTGAGCAGGTGTGAGGACAGCGACTGGGCTGGTTGGAGACGGTGCGTGTAGCCAATGTACGTGTCGGTGTGGACGGAGTAGAACTGGCGGTGGGTCACCCACGACACCCGTGTGTCTCTCCAATGCCCACAGGACATCACGTCCCCACGTACTTGATCCTGCTGGCCGTGACGGTGCCCCTAGTGCTTCTCATAGTCCTTGCGTTGTGGTTTCGGAAGCGCTGGTGAGTTCCGTTTTCTCCTCTCTTCCCACTACCTTATTTCGCGTTCCATTTCCACCTGTCTTAGCGTCCGTGTCCTGACCGCGCCACCTCCAGCGCACCCAGTGTCTCCCGTCTCTCTTTCCCAGCTCCTATCAGGACATCCCGTGAGCTTCGTCTCCTCGCCTCCCCCAGCGGCTCCGGAGCCTCGGACAACAGACTGATGATACCCTTCTTTCCACCCTCCGTGTAATTTTTTTTTCCTGTTTCTGCATTATGACCCCTTGTTCACACAAACTAGCTCAGTTCTGTGACTCTGTATGGGACGCCTTGCTTGTAATCTCCGTTTGGTCCATAGTCCTGTGCTTTTGAAGCCCATTCGGCTTCACAGCCTCCAGGGTGTTCCCTCATCCGTACCCGGGAAGCCCTTCTTCAGCTCTGCTACACCGGCACCTCGTTTCTACCCCGCACGCCGTTACTCAGGTCTTTCTTCCCCTCCCAACGTGCAAGCTCCTTTGGGACAACGACCGAGACGAAGGTGCGTTTCCTGCATGCAACATATGCTCAGTGAGAATCAAACCCAAATAACCCATATCCAAGTTCGATTTCCTGACGTGGTTGCAGTATTGGGAGGACTGACATTTCCCTTCACGTTCCAGAGTGTCCCCAGCCCAGAAAGCCCACATTCCTTTAGCTCCCTCATTTTCTTCCTAACACGTAAGTGCAGCTTTGCTCCTTGCCCTCCTTACTTTGTAAATACAATGGGGCAACTCTCTCCAACTTACTCTAAACAAGAAGAGAGACTGAATAGGCCACATCTGCAGGGCAGGGGAGCAGGCATGTTGCTGGATGGTTAACAAAAAGGAAAAAGAGAACTGGTCCCCAGCATTAGGATGGGATCAAGGCAAGGGATGCATGTGGAAGACAAGCCCCTATCTATCTCAGACACGCTCGTCTGGATTTTGTTTCCTTTAAGTTTCATTCACAAGCTCAATACTTGTCAAGCACTGAACCTGAGACAGGAACACGCACCCGTAAATCGGTGGGCGAGGAAACGGTGAGGGCCGTACCCCCCTGCCTGGAGGTACAATGCCTACTTCTTCAGTCTACGTCCTTCGTCCTGGGTACATCATTTTGTTTCTTTTTAGGAATTCTGAATCAGTTCCATAGATAAGTTGACGCATTTTACTGTATGTAAATGTAGAATTTACGTACAGTAAAATGCATCAGTTTTAAGTGCGTGGTTCCGCTCCTTTTGAAAGACATGTACACCCATGCAAGCAAGACCACAATCAAGATGCAGCACAACTCATCACCCTGATATATCTGCACCCATTTGCAGCTCAACTGTCAACGGGGCACCCTTGCAACTACTGGCATGCTTACTTGTTATAGTTAAGCTTACATTTGTCTTTTCTATATTTTTTCTTTTTTTTCTTTTCTATATTTTTATTAAAATGAAATCATCTGTATGTACTCTTTGTATCCAGGTGTTTTTTCCCCCCACCTAGCATATGGTTGTAGGTCAGTCAACATTCCTTGTTATTGCCCAATTGATTGCATGTATGAATAAAGCACTTTTTTTTCATTCACCTCTTCTTTGATGGTTATTTGTTCTGTTTCTAGGTTGAGGTTCTTTGAATAAAGTTGCTTTGTTTGTTCCATTACCTCCCTGGACTAATTTTGTGGATTCTGGGTGCCCTGACATTTGCCCTGCTCTCTCTCTCTCTCTCTCTTTTTTATTTAATAGAGGTGACAATTGGTATGTAACATTATATTAGTTCCAGGTGTACAACGTAATATTTGGGTTTTTGTCTACACTGCAAAGTGGTCACTGTAAGATCACTTTTCTCTCCTCCCTTCCTATTTTCCTCCCACTGTCCCATCTTCCTCTGAGTCACTCCTACCTCTACTTCCTAGATGGGATGCTGCCCCATTCATGAATGATTTAATAAAGCCAAGACATCTTCAGATTCACTTGGTTGAACTGTGTGTTTTAGCAACATGTCAAACAGGTAAGGAGGTAAGGTTTACACCCTTTGTTGGGGGGACGCGTGTGGATTGGAGCACACGTTCACCATTCAAGCAGCTTACAGACCTGCCCTGGCTTCTACTTTGTGCAAAGCTTCACGTCTGGCCAGGAAGAAGCAGGTAACCATGGCCTGCTTTGCTCTCTCCTTAGTTTGTGTGCAACCTTCCACGTCTCTAGGAGTACTCGAGAGCTCATCAAGGTCCACCGTGGATGACTCACTTCCCCAGTGTCTATGAAATTTCAGCTGCTCTCTTCTTTGCTTCGAGTGGAATTGCAGCTGTAGGCAGCAGGCATGTAGACCTTTGACTCTTGCTACCCTTTGCTATTGTTTCCTACAAGCTCCCTGGGCATAGGGCCTCTCTGTGGAATTCCACATTGGGTCTACGCTTCTGGTGGCCTCAACGCTACAGGTCTTCGGTCTCCACAATCACTGCACCAGGGGTGGAAGGAAGCAGCCGTGTGTTCAGTCACCCCATTGCTCTTGCTGACGCTAAGGCAATGTTTGAACAAAGTGCTTCTCCATCTGTTGCACGCCTTTGGTCTTTTTCCAGAATTCTGAAATGATTTATTTAGAAAATTATGTCTGGTATTATCGCTGGTATTTGGGGGAAAGAATGTGCTGAGCCCCTCACCCAGCCATTGGGGTGTCCTGCTCCATGTAGACATGTTGTAACATTATAAATCAAACCAACAAGAGTCTCAGTTCCTAGCCATTGAAAGCAAAGTACAACAGTATGCAGTATGGAAACAGCTCCTCCAGACATTGTGTTGTTAAAATCTGAAGAGCCTGGAAGGAATGAGAGATTCTAGAATATTAAGCAAAAGCAAACCAAAAGAAAGGGTAGGAGGTGTCAAAGATGCGAGAGCTCCTTGTGGGTGCCTACTGGCCCACTCTATTCCCGGGTGCATCTTCGCGCTCACGAGGACTGGAGGGCCGGGGTGGGGACATCAGACCTGGGTCAAGGGCGAGAGCTTCTGGAGGTCATTCCTTGTGCAGATGCTCAGCAGCTCCTGGGACCCCCTAGAGAGCCCCGGGCCCCTGACAGGGTGTGACGGTGGCATCATGGTTTCTGGGGGTCACACTGTGTTGTCAAGAATCCCACAGCAGTGTTTCGACCCAGGCCGGCACCCAGTCTGTCCACGTGAACTGAGAGCCACTCTGGGCTGCGCTGGACACACAATGGCTAACACCATGAGGTCCAGCCCTTACACCTTCCAGATCCCCGGGATAATTGTCGCTCTTCACAATGGTCTTGCTGGTGACATCGATGTTCCGGCCTCTGCACGACACTGATGGGCGACTGTGCTCCCGGATGCTGCTCCGTGTGCTCGGACTTGCTGTGGAGCCACTTGCCCAGCCCCACGGCCACCAGCTCCTTTCTGCAGCCTTGTCAGCGTCGGCTAGCCACTCCGTCTATCTGGACTTCTCCAACATGTTTATTCTTAAAAAAAAAAAAAAAAAAAAAAAAAAAAAGGTCAGCCACTTACAAAGCCCAGAATCTAAGACTGAGCCGGGTCTCGGCGTACGGCTTCCATATCGTATTTTCCCATTATAAGGGACCCGAGAGCCGGGGGGAAATGGCAGAGTTTGTACCCGAGTCTGGAGCTGCTCTGCTGCACCAGGAAGGGATGGAGAGCTCAGTGAGGAGGGGGTGTTGGGAATTCAGAAGCAGGCTGACACGGAAAGGATCCCAAGTCACAAATGGGACTCAGCAAATACAATGGCTAGGACAGAGTCCAGCATTTTCTTTTCTTTTTTGGTATTTTTTTAATTGGAGTTTGATTTGCCATTCAAACACGTTGACGTTCGTGCATCTATTGCAGAAAAAAATGACTCATTGGTTACCTGGGAAGCTACACAAACAATTCATTCTCTAGAAGACTGGTACACAAATGGGAAAAATCTCTTACTTCTTCTGTCTTTGGTTATATCAGGGTAATGAGATAGTTATTTAGGAGAATATATCTTTGTAGAAATATTTTAACTAATAAAAAAGGTACAACACCTTTGCGTTTCCCCCGAAGAAACACCACATTTAGGCCAGTTATTGTCACAGTGTGTTCAGGTGTACCTGGGAGCCCCTGGCCCCCTTCCGGAGGCTCTGTGAGCTCAAGACTATTCTTATAACAACACTATGATGATATTTTAGTGTACATCGCTTTCCAGAGATTATGGGCATGTAATATTGCATCCGATTTTATTTGGAAGGAGATATGAAAATATAGCTGCTTTCTATTAAGTCAGATGTTAAAGAGAATTACAAAAACTATTTTAGAAACCTACAAAGCGACTATTCTCATGTTTTTTTTTAAGACACATTCAGTTTGTTTTTAAGTCAGTGAAGAAACACATATCTTAAAAATGTATTCGTGTTTACGTCGAACATAATAACTATCTAAAACTCCATCTCTCTTATGTCACCAAGGGGCACGTAAAGTGGGACATCTGCCGTGAAAATGGTTTGGCAGTTCCTCAAAAGGTTAACCATAGAATTAACCATTTGGCCCAGACTTTTCACCCCTAGATATATCCTGAAAATAGATGTTCAGGGACACCTGGGTGGCTCAGCGGCTGAGCGTCTGCCTTTGGCTCAGGTCATGATCCCGGGGTCCTGGGATCGAGTCCCGCATCGGGCTCCCTCCATGGAGCCTGCTTCTCCCTCTGCCTGTGTCTCTGCCTCTCTCTCTGTCTCTCTCATAAATGAATAAATTAAAAAGAAAAAGAAAATAGATATCCAGACAAACATTTGTATGCAGATGTTCACAGCAGCGTTGGAAGAGGAAGAAACAACCCCAATATCCACCAGTGAAAAAATGGTGACCCCAAATGTGGTAGACTCAAACAAGGAAACATCATTCAGCCACAGAAAGGAAAGAAAAAATGATACAATGTGGGTGAACCTCAGAAATACGACGTTTGGTAAAAGAAACTAGACACAAACATGCTCATGCTGTGTAATTCCATTTATATGAAATGCTCAGAATAGGTAAGTCCTTTGAAACATTAGGAAGATTATCAGTTAACAGAGAATCAGCACGGGGGTGGGATGAGGTCGGGGTGGGGGGGACTGGGTAACGGATATGGGATATTCTTTTGGGGTGATATGCATGTTTTGGAAGTTGTTGGAGCTAGTGGTGGTGCCACAGTGTAATGTACTAAACGCTACCGAACGGAACACTTTAACACAGTTAATTCTTTTGAATAAAGATGTTCTTCAAAAACAAAATAAAAAATAAAACAGTTAATTCTATATTGTGTTTCACCCCAACAACAAAACAGATAAGCAATTAGATATTTGCACTATAATGCGAAACTCCAGAGTCTAAGTGGAGGATGTCCCACTTTGGAGAAGAACGGAAGGAAAGATGGAAAAATCTCTGGAAAGAAAAATCGCCTACAAAGTAATGACAAATGCGGTAACAGAAGTCTCCTCTTCAACAGCAAATGCAAGAAAATAGTAAGTTAGAATTTGACATTTGAATTTGAAATCCAGACAGACCTGGACCTCTGTCTGCTCTTCCGATAAAAGGGTTGTAGGGACCCCACCATGTGCTCTCTTAAAAGACAGACAACGGCAGAAACCAAAGTGAACCTACAGGAACAGAGTCATGTTAGGAAGCAAAACAAAACAAAATAAAACAAAAATACGAAACCCACAAACATGCAGTTTGGTTTGAAAGCCAAGAAGGCAAAAATGCAGTGGGTTTTCCAGTCTGTCTCAAATGTTTAAACCTCTGTGACCTAGTCCGGGGGAGGCCAGGGTTCATTGTCCCTGGAAATACCCCTCAGAGCTCAAATTTAAGGTTCTTTCTGACTCTCACGAGTCTGTGGGTCCCAGGCTACAAGCCCATCAAGGTTCCTGAGCTTAACAGCGAGTCTGTGAACTGACTTCCAGGTTTGGGATACGCCGGGACGGGGGTCGGAATTCCGACGGTGACGAGACAGTGCTGAGCCGCCACACGTACAAACAGGAGGTGCTCAATCGGTACCTGGGGGATAAGTGAATGAGCTCATAAATGAACAAGTAGGTCAAGGCACACTTGCCATTTTTGGGTCTGTTGTTGACGTTCATTCTTCGGTTGAAATCACGAAATTCAGGGCAGCCCGGGTGGCTCAGAGGTTTGGCGCTGCCTTCAGCCCAGGGCATGATCCTGGGGACCCGGGATTGACTCCACGTTGGGCTCCCTGCGTGGAGCCTGCTTCTCCCTCTGCCTGTGTCTCTGTCTCTCTCTCTCTCTCTGTGTGTGTTTCTCATTAATAAATAAATAAAATCTTTAAAAAGAAAAAAAGAAAGAAATCACGAAATTCGAGCAATTCAGTGGGCTGCCCGCCGGCTCCATCTCCTGTGGCCACTGAGGACCCAGGGCTGCTCCCAGCCCAGATGCCAGCTGGGTGCCAACTCCCAGGCCGCCTGCGCTTTGCTGGAGGGGCCCCTGCTGGCCCCGAGTCTGCAGAAATCTCATGATTGGTTCCAAGATGCTTCTCTTCTTTGCTCTTGGGGTAGAATTTGAGGATATTTGTTGTATTTCTAATTCTGGAATCTTGGAGGAAGGAATCAGAGGGGGGTTTTCACCTGTTCATCCTGTTCTCTCTCCTTTTCACCCATAAAGGCAGGACCCTGTCTTCTGAGCTCCTTGATCGGCGTTAACCAGGCGTCAAAAGATTGGTGTCCCCCCGGGGTTTGGTTTTGGAGGCGTGGGCCATTCGGGAGAGGAGGCTGACAGCCTGCGCGTGGAGTAGCTGTGTAACCAAGCTCCGGGTGTGCCTCTTGCATCCACGCCTTAGGTCTGGTTTGCACGGAGCAGGGGTGGTGGTGGTGACAGTGACAGTGTCGGGGGCGCGGGGGGAAGGGGGCACAAGAACACCTGTCAGGTGCTGACCCTGCAACGGAGCCTGTAGTTCTCATGTGGGATTTGAGTGAGCTCCAGGAGGCGTGGGCGCTCACACTGACGCTGGCTTCCCCGCCGCAGCTGCCGGCACTGCCTCTCCTGCTGCCACCTCGCCCTCAGTGGAATACTAGTCACATAGGAGAATTAATCTGCTCATTATGCTCACACACCCCTAAATTCTTAACTCTGGTGCTTGCCAGCGAATTGCCAGCACATCCAACCGAGTCTTGGGCGCTCTGTCTCAAACTCAAGGCTTACAAAGAAAAAAAAATTGACAATGTCAAGTAACGTTAAGTCTCTGCTGTCCTCTGGCTGTGACCTAAAAAGTGAATTAGCTTGTAGGAGGTATTGGATTCCAGGAATATTGTTCTGACTTACATACTTTGCAATTTGGATTTTGCAATCGGTCTTGGATAAAGGCCGCTCTTAACACCGGGAGCCATTTATTTCCAGGCATAGAGATTGTTACAATCCTCATTTTGCGTTTTTTTTTAAATCTACATAAATGGATCCGTTACTGAAGGCTCCTTATGCTTGGAATGATTTACCACCACCTTTCTGCTAGACGGTATGTAGATCTATGCAAAATTGTCATTTTTTTTCCTGATTGGAGAAAAATCAAAGAATCATCCTTGCAACTAATATTGATTAGAGTCCAAATATTTCACTCAGAAGGTGTTCAGTGTACTGTTGCAGCATGCCAGGGGCATCCCAGAGAAGACGGGGGATGGCATCTTAGGACTAGCACCTCTGAGCATTTGGTGAAAAGCGACAAGTGCCCTGCTCACCTAGTAATCTTTTGTCTGGTGTCAGAAAGGCCAAAATGTTGACCTTGGGGATGTTGCAAGAGGAGGAGGAGGAGGAGGAGGAGGAGGAGGAGGAGGAGGAGGAGGAGGAGGCCCTATTGCTTGTGAACCTTCTACAGAGAGCTATGCTTGACTGACTCCCCAGGTTCTCCGGGCCTCAAGGTTAGTTACCCCGTGCTCCAAAGCTTGAGAGTGACTGAAAGAAGACCATACGCTGGTAGAAGATGTCATTTTTACCCTCAAAACTGGCTATGGCATGAGATTGATCGCTTGCATCACGCACAGTGGTATTTGTTGCATTGGGCTCGGGGATCTGCATCTGTAGCACCGCAGTCGGGTGGGGTGGTGTTCACTGGCCTTGGTGTGAGTGATGGTCAGCATACAACACCTCCCCCCACCCAACCGCCCTGCCCAGAAATGAGAATGTGGGTTAGAGGGACGAGTCAAAGGCGTGAGATGAGCCACGGGGGCCAGTGTGGACGCTGGGGGAGGTGAGGACACAGGGCCCGAGCAAGGAGGTGGGGAGAAGGCTGAGCCACGTGGATGGACCCGAAGCATCCCTGTAGAGTGGAGCTAGCCCGGCAGTTGCCCGACGTCCCCCTCTTGTTGGAGGTTGTAGGGGTGCAGACCTGGCAGGCGAAGTGACCTTCCAACCACACTGGGCATCTTCCCAGGCGCTAAGTATGAAGGGAACCGAAGACAGGAAGCAGCTAGAGGCCGGGGAGATAAGAAAATCAACGCTAGAGTCAGGCTGGGGGGAACTGAGAGTGAGTGGGAGGCTCGGGCTGTGGGAGGCGCAACTCTTGTGTGCCAGGGGCGAGGAAGTGGCGGGCCCAGCGGTCGAGGGGGGCAGCCCGCTGTCCGGGGAGATGCGGCTCCTGCTGCTGCTGCTGTGGCCCGCGGCTCTGTGCCCAGGGGGAGGCGGCGAGGCAGGTGGGCACCCGGCTGCACCTGCCCGGGTGGTGTCTGGATGCAGCCAGGGAGGGTCGGGCTGCTCTCTGAGGTGGGCAGGGGCCGAGGCCCTGTAGACTCCTGTCTCGGGCTCTCTGTGGGACCCAGAGGTTCCAATTCTCCGTGTGTCATGGGCCCCGACTGTCCCTCCCCTGCCCCTCTGTCGCCCTTCCAGCGCCCGCAGACCTTCAGGGGCCCACCTCGTACCGTGTCATCCAGATCTCGTCCTTTGCCAACAGCAGCTGGGCACAGAACCAGGGCTCTGGGTGGCTGGGTGACGTGCAGATCCACGGCTGGGACGCCGACGCTGGCAGGGCGGTTTTCCTGAAGCCCTGGTCCAAGGGCAACTTCAGTGACGAGGAGATGGTCGAGCTGGAGGAGATCATCCAGGTCTACCTGAGCGGGTTCATCCTGGAAGTGCAGGACCACGCCCCGGAGTTCCAGATGCAATGTGAGTCCAGGCCTTTGGGGTCGGGGAGGGGGCTCCCGGGGCCTTCTCTCCCCCTGCTCCAGGTGGCTGCTTCCTGGGAGCTCCTGCCCGCCCACCCTCCCGCGCTCCTTCTCGGGAGCAAGTGCTTGCTCTGACTCCACACCCCGCACAGGCTTCCGGGTTCTTCCTGCTGCCGTCTCTAACATCTCCTGCTTGGCTTGGGCACGACTTGCTCCCTCAAACCCCAGCAAGGAGCCCCACTCCCCTGCCCCGAAGTCCGGGTGACCTCCTCCTGCACTGCCCCTCCTGGGACCTCCCGCGCGGTCCCCCTCCCGGGCCCCCCTGGATGGCTCACCCCAGCCCTCGCACTCTGCCCCACTCCCTTCCACTGACATGCATCAGCACAACTGCGTCTCTACCATTAGTGACATGCATGCTTCCCCTGGGTCTCAGCCTTCTGAAAAATCCCTGCTTGCTGTAATGAGGTTTTGGCCCCTTATTTGACACCTTAGACCTTTCGCATCCCCCGAATCCCAAATCCCAGGTTCTTCCCCCATTTCTTTCTCATTTGCTTCTTCATAATTTTTTCTCTATTTTCCTTCCATCCAGACCCCTTTGAGATCCAGGGCGTAGCAGGCTGTCAGCTGCACCCCGACGGGGGCACGGTGAGCTTCTTGCGGGGAGCCTTAGGGGGCCTGGACTTCCTGAGCCTCAAGAATCACTCCTGTGTGCCTGCCCCGGAGGGCGGCAGCAGGGCGCAGCGCATCTGTGAGCTCACCCTTCAGTATGAAGGCATCCGGGATATCGCGGAGAAGCTCCTCTTTGAAACCTGCCCTCGGTTTCTCCTGGGCCTACTCGATGCCGGGAAGGCAGAGCTGAGGAGGCCAGGTTAGTCCTGTCCCCGGCCTCCACCCCCAGAGGCTTTTCCATTCCAGTTCCCACCACTTGTTTTAAATTCAAGAGTAGCGGGTGCCTGGGAAGAGAGGGGCTTAATAGATAATTTGGCTTCCAAAGGAGGAGAAGGGGTCCCTGTCCCAACTTGTGAGCTTCCCAATCCCTGGGCTCTAGAGCAGAGTCACTGTCTGACACCTCTCTGCTGCCTCCTGCCCCAGTGCGACCCGAGGCCTGGCTGTCCGCTGGCCCCAGTCCCGGGCCTGGCCGTCTGCAGCTGGTGTGCCACGTCTCCGGCTTCTACCCCAAGCCTGTGTGGGTGATGTGGATGCGGGGTGAGCAGGAGCAGCAGGGCACCCGGCAAGGCGACGTCCTGCCCCATGCTGACGGCACGTGGTATCTCCAAGCGACCCTGGACGTGGCGGCGCGGGAGGCCGCTGGCTTGTCCTGCAGGGTGAAGCACAGCAGTCTAGGGGGCCAGGACATGGTCCTCCACTGGGGTGAGGAGGGCCTGGGGCCCCGCTGGGCACGGGGAACGGGTCCACGAGCATCCAGGGGGTGCTGGCCGTGAGCAGGGCTGGACAGATGAGAGGGAGAGTAGAGGAGGGTGGGGGTTAGGGACGGAAGGGGTAGGGGAAGAGGAGGGAAGGATGGAGGGAGGGACAGAGGGGGACGGGGTGAGATGGCAGGGATGAAGAAAGGGATGGAGGGAGAGGGGGATGGAGAGATAGAAGGAGGCAGAGGGAGGGATGGAGGGAGTGTACCCCAGGAGCAGGCAAAGGAAGGCGAGAAGAATCAGAGAACGGGTTTTGAAGTGACTTCCTGTGTCCTTTCCTAATTTCCAGGAAACTCCATCTCCATTGGCTTGATGTCTTTGGCAATAATACTGCCCGTCTTGATCTTTCTGATAGGTCTTCCGTTTTGGCTTTGGAGGCGCTGGTGAGTTTTTATTTTTATTTTTATTTTTTTGAGCATTTATTTATTTATTTATGTTCAATTTGCCAACATATAGAATAACACCCAGTGCTCATCCCATCAAGTGCCCCCCTCAGTACCCATCACCCAGTCACCCCCACCCCCTGCCCACCTCCCCTTCCACCACCCCTAGTTTGTTTCCCCGAGTTAGGAGTCTCTCATGTTCTGTTTCCCTTTCTGATATTTCCCACTCATTTTTTCTCCTTTCCCCTTTATTCCCTTTCACTATTTTTTATATTTTATAAGGGTAGGTTTTAGGTCTTATGACGAAGGCTTACCACCATGGAAACAATAGATTTACATAAAGAAGATGGGATTGGGGAGTAAGGGAAGAGGGTCTGGTGGAAAGACTGAGGTAGTGCGATGTAATCGATAAAATGGTAGAAAGAGTGGATGTGTAGACCAAAAAAAAAGAAGATTAAAAATAAAAACTCTTTTTTAATATTTTTATATTTTTTATATTTTTATATTCCCCAAATGAATGAAAATGGGGATATTATATTGGGTAATATAAAAATATAAAAAAAGAGTTTTTATTTTTAATCTTCTTTTTTTTTGGTCTACACATCCACTCTTTCTACCATTTTATCGATTACATCGCACTACCTCAGTCTTTCCACCAGACCCTCTTCCCTTACTCCCCAATCCCATCTTCTTTATGTAAATCTATTGTTTCCATGGTGGTAAGCCTTCGTCATAAGACCTAAAACCTACCCTTAGAAGTATGGACATTCACATGTTCGTGCAACCAATTTCTAGAACTCATCTCATCTTGGAAAACTAGAACTCTGTACACATTGAACAACACCTCCCCAGCCCCTGCTCCCCACTATTCTATACTCTGTCTAGGAATTTGACACCTCTGGGGACCTCATTTAAGTCATACGTTTACGCGTTGTCCTTTTGTGATTGGCTTATTCCTCTCAGCACAAGGCCTCATGGTTCATCCACGTGTCACAATTTCCTGTGTTCTCAAGGCCGAGTCATGATTTCCATTGCACGAACAGGACACAGGGTGTTTACTATTCACCCGTCGATGGACACCTGGGCTGATTCCACATTTTGGCGATTTGTGTATATCATTGCTATGAGCATGGGAGCATGAGCGTCAACTATGCAGTTATTTTTTGCTTGTGTTCTTCACAGGTCCTATCAGAGTATCTCATGAACCCTCGCCATCTCATGAACTCTTCTTCCATTTGGGATAAGCACTTGGAAGCCCACAGATTCAAGTTGTCAGCCCTGGGAGCCGGGGAGGGGTCGATCGCATCTCATTTCACCGAATAATCCTCCTATTCAATAGTATCAGAGTTCCTATAGGATGTAATGCAAATCACTAGCTCTAGCAGGAAAATAAGAGAAAACCATGAGTTTATTATGAGGTGGTATCAAGAGTAGGATTCTCCTTGACTTCCTACACATGAGTGTGGGAGAGAATGTGTCTCAGAATAAATGAAATATGATATACTGGGACACCTGGGTGGCTCAGCTGTTGAGCATCCCCCTTCGGCCCAGGGCGTGATCCTAGAGACCCGGGATCAAGTCCCATATCAGGCTCCCTGCATGGAGCCTGCTTATCCCTCAGCCTGTGTCTCTGCCTCTCTCTCGGTGTCTGTCATGAATAAATAAATAAAATCTTAAAAAAAAGAAATATTATATACAACTTACTGGTAACGTCCTTTTGGCTTCTGATGTTAGACCTTTTTTTTTTTTCTGCTTCTGCTGAAATGTCATTTGTCAGGTAGGCAAAGTATCATTATGCTGGGAAGGTTGCGTTTGCAGAGATGCTGAGCATGTTTACCATAATGTCTCCGACTCTACCTGGTTGACCGTCGAGGCGCAGCTGAGACGCTTCTTCCTCCAGGAAGCCTTCCTTAGTGCTACAGTGGAAGTGGCTCTCCCTTGTCTGGTGTCACTTCACTCTGTACCCCTGGCATTGAGCTATTTCCGGGTTTCTGCTCGTTTTCCTTGCAAGCTCCTTGAGAGCAAGGCCTGCTTCAGGTCAATCTCTAGCGTGCATGAGCTCTTCCGTGCACAAGCATTTGCTCAGTGAAATAGTATGAGTTGATAGAATTACCTCATTAATGGTCTTTTCCAAACGTATGGCCTTCCCTATCCCCAACCCCTTCCTTGAGATTCTGGATTTTCTTCTTTCTAAGATATTTCTCACTTAGCAAAAAAATACCATGCTCTACTCTTTTCTGCCCTGAAGCCTTCCATGGGAAATTGCTTGTGTCTGTGCTGTGATTTAGCCCACTTGCAGAGCTTCATCTGGATGGGATCCTGCTCCTCACATTTCCAGTGGGAAAGAGAGGCAGGAAGGAGGAGGGATGATGATGATGCAGGTGGGCTGTTAAATATTCACTCGAAAGACTCAAGAGGGCTTTCAAAAAATATCTGTGCTATAGCAATTCAGTTGTATTTTGATTTACGTTTGCTCCTTCTTTTGCTTATTCCATGGTTTTTTAGAAACCTCATTTAACTTGATGAAGTCCCAATAGTTCATTTTTGCTTTTGTTTCTTTTGTTTTCGTGGATGTATCTTGCAAGAAGTTACTGTGGCCAAGTTCAAAAAGGGTGTTGCCTGTGTTCTCCTCTAGGATTTTGATGGAGTCTTGTCTCACATTTAAATCTTTCATCCATTTTGAGTTTATCTTTGTGTATGGTGCAAGAGAGTGGTCCAGTTTCATTCTTCTGCATGTGGATGACCAATTTTCCCAGCACCATTTATTGAAGAGACTGTCTTTCTTCCAGTGGATCGTCTTTCCTCCTTTGTCGAATATTAGTTGACCATAAAGTTCAGGGTCCATTTCTGGGTTCTCTATTCTGTTCCATTGGTCTATGTGTCTGTTTTTGTGCCAGTCCCACACTGTCTTGATGACCACAGCTTTGTAGTACAACCTGAAATCTGGCATTGTGATGCCCCCAGCTATGGTTTTCTTTTTTAAAATTCCCCTGGCTATTCGGGGTCTTTTCTGATTCCACACAAATCTTAAAATAATTTGTTCTAAGTCTCTGAAGAAAGTCCATGGTATTTTGATAGGGATTGCATTGAACGTGTAAATTGCCCTGGGTAGCATTGACATTTTCACAATATTAATTCTGCCAATCCATGAGCATGGAATATTTTTCCATCTCTTTGTGTCTTCCTCAATTTCTTTCAGAAGTGTTCTATAGTTTTTAGGGTATAGATCCTTTACCTCTTTGGTTAGGTTTATTCCTAGGTATCTTATGCTTTTGGGTGCAATTGTAAATGGGATTGACTCCTTAATTTCTCTTTCTTCAGTCTCGATAAGAAGCTTTTGCACAGCAAAGGATACAGTCAACAAAACTCAAAGACTACCTACAGAATGGGAGAAGATATTTGCAAATAACATATCAGATAAAGGGCTAGTTTCCAAAATCTATAAAGAACTTCTTAAACTCAACACCAAAGAAACAAACAATCCAATCATGAAATGGGCAAAAGACATGAAGAGAAATCTCACAGAGGAAGACATAGACATGGCCAACATGCACATGAGAAAATGCTCTGCATCACTTGCCATCAGGGAAATACAAATCAAAACCACAATGAGATACCACCTCACACCAGTGAGAATGGGGAAAATTAATAAGGCAGGAAACAACAAATGTTGGAGAGGATGCGGAGAAAAGGGAACACTCTTACACTGTTGGTGGGAATGTGAACTGGTGCAGCCACTCTGGAAAACTGTGTGGAGGTTCCTCAAAGAATTAAAAATAGACCTGCCCTACGACCCAGCAATTGCACTGTTAGGGATTTACCCCGAAGATTCAGATGCAATGAAACGCCGGGGCACCTGCACCCCGATGTTTCTAGCAGCCATGTCCACAATAGCCAAACTGTGGAAGGAGCCTCGGTGCCCATCGAAAGATGAATGGATAAAGAAGATGTGGTCTATGTATACAATGGAATATTACTCAGCCATTAGAAACGACAAATACCCACCATTTGCTTCAACGTGGATGGAACTGGAGGGTATTATGCTGAGTGAAGTAAGTCAATCGGAGAAGGACAAACAGTGTATGTTCTCACTCATTTGGGGAATATGAATAATAGTGAAGGGGAATATAAGGGAAGGGAGAAGAAATGTGTGGGAGATATCAGAAAGGGACACAGAACATAAAGACTTCTAACTCTGGGAAATGAACTAGGGGTGGTGGAAGGGGAGGAGGGCGGGGGGTGGGGGTGAATGGGTGACGGGCACGGAGGGGGACACTTGACGGGATGAGCACTGGGTGTTGTTCTGTATGTTGGTAAATTGAACACCAATAAAAATTAATTTATATATATATAAAAAAAGAAACCTCATTTAAGAAAAAATCAAACTCAGTTTGATTAAAATAGCAGGAGGAGAAAGGGGAGAATTTGAGGGTATTTGTTATAGGACTTTGGGAAGGGAGACTAGAATGAGCAGAGACGTTGGAGAAGCCAAAGGTACTGAAAACAATTCTCCCAACTGGAAATTTGAGGAGAATATGAATTTCAGGATTGAGGAAGGTTAGGAGATGGCTGAAATAAATGTACAGCTTCCTCCCCTCTCTGTTACCAGAGCTGGTGAGTTTTCCAGGATGCGTTAAACTCCACCTTCCCTTAGAGCAGAGGCGCCCTCAGCTACCACCCGGGGCTCTGATGAGTGTGTTTTTTGGAGTGTGGACAATGAATCAGCAGCTGGAATGGTACCTATGAGCTTGTGAGCAAAGTAGTTTTCAGGCCTACCCTAGACCTATGGAATCAGGAAATCCAGGAATGAGAACCAGAAATCTGTATTTTTAACAAGCCTTTCTGATTATTCTGATGTACAATTAAGTTTGAGAAACCCGTCTCTAAATAGTTCTCAACATTCACTCTATTGACATTTTGGGCCAGATCTTTCTCTGTTATGGAGAGTTGTCCTGTACACTAAGATGTTCAGCATCTCCGTCCTCTACCCATTAGATACCAGTGACACCTCCCCAGTTTTAACAACCAAATGCATCTTCAGACCTTGCCAAATGTCTCCTATGGGGCAAAACTGACTCCAGATGAGAATCAAGGTGTACGATAATGAACAGAATTCCATCCCCCTGCTTAGTTAGAATAATCGGTTCATGGTGCAAACGTGACCTAATTTGGTACAAACCACCTGAAGCTTGACTTTCTATTTGGTGGTTGAGGAAGAAGGGGCTCTCTCTTGGTTGGGGTGGTACAATGTCTTCAAAGCTCGAAATCACTGTGGAGTTTTGTTCCAGAAGTAAAGCTGACCCAGGAATGAAGTTCACAAATAAAGTAGAACAAATAAAAACAGTTATTTAAGGATTTCATTTCTCCCTTTGAACTGGCTGGGCTAGAACTTTAGTTGCTTGAAAATTCTAATACCCCATGATCTCTGATGTCTTGCCTCTGCTCCTTTATTTTCTTCTTATACTTTTTATTTACCCTCCTTGTCTCCTCCCTTCCCCAAGTCATCCCTCCGAGGTGGTTTCTTGGGTTTATGACTTTCCTCTGATTGTCCTTAACCTGGAAAACCTTAATTAATGCTTCTATGATTTAACTATGACTTCTTGGTGAATGGCCTTCAGAATTAGATCCTTAGTCTCAAACACAAGGACTTTCCAACTCCTTTTGTGTGAGAATGTGTATACGTGTGTGTGTGTGAGTTCTGCTAATATACAAAAATATGTTTAAAATAGTTTCACCTTGCTTCCAGTAGACAAGTTTAGTTAACTTATTCAGTTTAATATTTTATCTGTAGATCCTTTTGGATTTTCTATACATAATCTCCTGACATCTCTAAATATGAAAATTTTAATTGTTTTTTTTTTTTGAAAATTTTAATTGTTTTTTAATCCTTCCATCTTTTGTTGTATTTCCTCTCCCAATTACACTGATTGTGACTTGCAGGAAAATGATGCATAGAATTATTGAGAGCTGACATTCTCGTTTTTAAAAAAATATTTATTTATTTGAGAGAGAGCAAGAGAGAGGATAGGGAGGAGGAGAAGAGACAAAGGGAGAGAGAATCCTCACTGAGCACGGAGTCATGAATGAGGCTCAATCCCACGACCCTGAGATCATGACCTGAGCCTAAACCAACAGTCAGAAGTTAACCAGCTGTGCCACCCAGGTGCCCCTTCATCTTTTTACTTTTATTAGATAAGAATTATCCAGGAGTTAACATTAGTTATGATAATTGCTGTGTGCTCCAATTTACTTTTTTTAAAAATCAGATTAAGGACATTTTTTTCAAATTTATTAAAAACTTTTTCTAGTCATCATTATTATGGATAGTTGTTGAAGTTTATTAGGTGCTTATTCTGCATTTCTTGACATGACAAGTGTTTTATATCTTTTTTCCCCTGAATGTTATGAATCACACTTATTGATTCTCAAATGGTAAAGTAAAATTGTGTTCCTATAAATCATCTTGTCATAATGTATGTATGTGGATTCAGTTTGCAAGTATTTTGCTTATAATATTTTGTTCATTTAATTTTTATAATTTCCTTGTCAGGACTTTTTGCCTCATAAAATGAGTTGAGAAATCTTTTCTCTGTACCTATTCTCAGGGAGTTTTGTGTTATTTTCTTTTTCCTTAAGTATTTGGTAAAATTT